TTCTTCTCTGTGTTTATTTGGTAGACTCATACTTTATAAAGCAGTAAATTGCCAATTGCCCAGAATGCAAATGATGATAACATTAAAAACAGATTTTTTAATGCAAGTAAATAGCTGTCAAAGATCTGATAAACTAATTGTATTTCCATTATATGTCAAATAAATGGGGAGATTTAATTTTATCAGCTGTGCCTTTTCCTTTTACAGAATTATGCAGTTATAATTTATTTTTATAACAATGACTCTCAGTTCCTATTGGAGCCTTTCTAATCATTAAAGACCCAATTATATTTTTTAATCGTTTGAAGTCAACTCCATTTTTATATGCAAATTCTTTAAAAATTGGCTGTAGATATATATACAATATATATACAATCTTTCTATATAGAATAACTCATTTTTCAGTAATTAAAGATAGTAGAACCTGTAAGTGCAATGTACTATTGCCTAGTAGAGTGTAATATCAGGTTAAATGTAACTTTGACAAATTTTTCTGAAATAGAAATCCTTTTGGACTTAGATGCCATAAAAAAAATTACAACACTGTATATTAAGAAAAACAAAGATCAGTAATTCAGCAGCAATGCCAAGTATAAGATGGGTTAGGAGAAAATGCTTTTTTAGTTTTGTAGATGTTTTCTAATAAATGGATTATCAAATATTTACCAAGTAGTCAAAAGATTTTGGCTCCATTTTCCTCATTCTCTCCACATTCCAGCTCTTCTGAGGTAAATTCCATCTACCAAGAATTTAGACTATTCTAAATTCCAAAACTTGAGAATGACCTTGAAAACTAGAAAGACCATTTAAGCATGAAAGCTTATAGATGTCTCCACTGTAATCAAGATAATGAGATAAAGGACTTTATCTTTGGTCTTTAAGTATTTGACTTAGTCATACCAGAAATGTATATTTATAGTCATAATGACCACATCCCCCAAATATTTAATAATGGTAACTTATTCTGATTACAAAGTAAGGTGTACTCTTAAATATTTGCTGTTGATAACTCAAAATGATATAGGCAGTTTGGAAAAGAGTTTGACAGTTTCTTGTAAAGTTAAACATATACTTTCAATGTGACCCCACAGTCCCACTCCTATTTACCCAAAAGAAATGCACACATGCATACACAAAAATAGTTGTACGCAAGTGTTTATAATAGCTTTATTTATGATGTCCAAAGAAGTGGAGACAACTTAAATGTCCACCAACTAGTGAATAGATAAGCACATTCTTGTGAATTCCTACAATGAAATATCTATTGGTTAGCAATGATATTAATTACATACAACAACATGGATGAATCACCAAAGCATAAGGGAACTTTTGGGGAGGTGGAAATGTTCTATTAGTTGCTTGTGGTGGTGGTTACATGATTATGTCAACACTTAATCAAATTAGACACGTAAGCAGGTAAGTTTTACTTTATGTAAACTATACCAATAAACTTTATTCAAACAGAAAAAGGAAGACATGGCCAATGTAGGCATTCTGGAAATACAGAAAGGCCCAAAGAATAATATGAAATTCACCTTTAATTTCACTCACCAGATATTAACTATAATTTTAACATTTTTGTTGCATTTCTATGTTTTTCTATGCATTTAATATGAACTTGTGTGACTGCATTTATAAAACTTAACATTATAAGAATTTGCCCATATCGTTAGTAATTCTTTATTTAGTCTCACTTTTAATGGCAACCTTATAAGATTTTAATATTTGATTTTTAGATTTTTTGGGTGTTTACTCTTAAATAATATTGATTAACATTTTTATCTTCATTTTTCCTTTATTTGTTTATTTATTCTAAGAGACAGGGTCTTGCTCTGTTACCCAGGCTGGAGTGCAGTGACATGGTCATAGCTCACTGCAGGCTCCAACAGCTGGGTTTAAGGGATCGTCCCACCCTAGCCTCCCAAGTAGCAAAGACAGGTGTATACCAGCACACCCAGCTAATTTTTATTTTTATTTTTTTTATAGAGACATTCTAGCTATGTTGCCTAAGCTGATCTTGAACTTCTGTCCTCAAGCAATCCACCTGCTTTGACCTCCCACAGTGCTGGGACTACAGGCATGAGCCACTGCATCTGGCTCATCACTCATTTTTCAATGTGTTTCTTATGCTAAGAAACTGCTTTTAGGGCTAGGCACAGTGGCTCACGCCTGTAATCCCACACTTTGGGAGGCTGAGGCAGGCGGATCATGAAGTCAGGAGATCAAGATCATCCTGGCCAACATGGTGAAACCCCATCTCTACTAAAAATACAGAAATTAGGCGAGCATGGTGACAGGCGCCTGAGTCCCAGCTACTCAGGAGGCTGAGACAGGAGATTCACTTGAACCCAGGAGGTGGAGGTTTCAGTGAGGAAGCAGCTAGACAGGGATACTTGATACCTAATCCCAGAAATCATCATTTAAATGCTTACCTTGGTTCCAATCACAAATTCATTTTTATTTTGTTCTTCATAACATCTTCTGTGCACTCCTTGATAAAATATATATGTCTGTCCCCCTGCTTTCTGTCTTTAAGGAAACTATACATTTTAATTCAAACTTGTTAATCTATCATTTCGATGATGATGTAGCTGATTATTATTCTTTACGCAGGACCTTCACTGTCAGCAAGACTGACAGTAGCTTGTGGTGTTGATGATTTGTGTATCACTATCTACTTTCACTTGTGTGTGACCCAGTTGCCCAGCAGTCTGCAAAGAGAGACACTTTGAAAGAGTTGAGAAGCAGGCTGTGGTTCCAGGCAAGGTCCTTCCGCATGCTCTCTGTGGCTCCTAGCCAGCTATTTGGTGCACATCTTGGTAGTGCACTTTTTTATTGAGGGTGTCTGTTATGTCCACAGTATCTAGCTGCCAAGGTCACTGCTGTTAACCCTGAAATAAGAGTTTGGGTATGTGCATTTCAAAACAGGAAATTGCAGAGGAAAGACAGAAAGAGAGCAACTAAATATCTGTCACTAGAACCATAGAGAAGAAATTAGAAGTTAGAGCAAAGGTGGAGCAAAGGGTTTCTAAGGGGACGTCGAGAAGAAACAATGAACAGGTGAGAACAAAAGCAGTAATGTCTCAGCCAGTCATTAAATAAATTCACATTCCATCCACAAGCACAGATGATGGAAGTAAGGGTACCATGAATGCTGAATAGAAGTTCACCAAACACTTCAGTTAGCTGATGTGCTGAAATAAAATATGTAATTGTTTTGGACCATTTGGGTGATGCTTTCCAATGCAAGAACTTTGTTTTTATTCTGACTTTTAATAACTCCCCTGGATTCTAAAAATTTCTGGGAATTTTAGGGAATAAAGAAGGAAACTTAAATCTGCCATAACTCTACCACTCAAAGATACAATAGTAATATTTTGGAATATTTTTATTTATTCTTTCACAAGTTTCAAATCATTAATCATGTGTGTGGTTTTGAATCCTACGCTTTTCATATAATATTATACAATGTGATAATTTCCATATTATTAATTTTATTAAAAACATAATTTCATTGGCAGCATGGTATTTCTCTGTGTATATTGCCAGCATGTGTTGAATAATTTCACTGCTATTGGACATTTGTTATCAATTTCCAATAACATAAACAAGACTGTCCTACATATCTATATAGCATACATCTTTATGTTCATCACTTTATTACTTTAATACATTCAGGAATGAAAGAGTGTGACTATTTCTATGTAAGGACATGTCGTATTACAGAAAGATCATCTCCCGAGATGTTACACACCACTAGCAGTGGATGAGTACCCATTCATTCACCACACCTTAGCCAACTTCTTATGTCACTGTTTTTAAATATGGGGGAGCAAACAGTATATTTGTGGTGTTTTGTAAAAGAGAATTATTTAAATAATACAGAAACTAAAAATTCAGCCTAAGATTTTAGCTTTAAAAATTGTGAAAGTCTAAAAATCTTAAGCCCCTAATAAACTGTTAATCATAATGCTTTTAAAAAAAAAAAACACTCAGAATTGTACATAAATTTAGTTTGAGCAGCCTCTGCACTGTAAACCTTCCTTTCAGAATAAAGGATTGTGATAAAATATTTTTAAAAATCTCTGTTTTTAAAAGTAGGCCTCTACCTGTCATATTTTAAACTTCCAACAATATTTTCCACTTTTGTAGCAAGTGTGTGTGTAAGTTTGTGGCATAATTTTGGACTAGCTCTCCACAACAAGGTCAAACTAATTTTTAATTTCTTCTTCCTCTATGATATTTCAGTATATAATTTATATATTCAGTAAGAATAATATTCTCAAATGATTGGCTAATTGTTTCAATTCAGCTTACTAAGGTCAATGCAAAGGTTAAAAAAAAAAACCACAGCTGAAACTATATAAAACCCCACAATGGCATCTTTGTTACTATCTAAACTTTGTAGTTAAAAAATTTGCAGCAAGACGCTTTCATAGGTCATGTAAATCCCATAATGATGGAGTTAGCAGAGACCTTAGAAATCAGCAAATCCATCCTTTCATTTGATAGGTGAGGACATGGAACTTAGATTGGTGCAGGCACATTTTGGGATCACCCATCTGGACAGTGTCCCTTCACCCTGAATTCTTGGCTCTATAGCTGGTTGTTCCTCAGACCGCACTACTCAGATCCAATCATTGGAGAACTGAAGCACTGAGAACCATGTCCTCAATTCATAGCCTTCGTCTAAGAATTCTGTGTAAGAATGAAAGTCCTACTGGTTCTTTGATTATCATTTCTAACCCCTACTTTGCTCAATTTGTGTTAAGGACTGACAAACTGATAAGCCACATAAATCAATTCTCTTTCAAGATCCCAGAATAAGCTAAGCCATTTTGTTACACAGAAGCTGCATGTTGTCTCACATTCCAAATGAGCTAAACTTTGCCTTTAGCAGGCTGGTCTCAAAAATAAATACCTGTGGAAGAAATGTGATTACATGGAAGCACAGCATTATTCATCTAAAGTATTCTTCGGCTTTTTGTTTTTCTTTCCAGATATCTGTATGCCCTTGGACAGAAGGTTTGGAAAAGATGGAAAAAACGTTACTTTGTTCTAGTTCAGGTTAGTCATTTTTTCCTATTAAATAATCATTCTAAGAGCAATTCTCAAAATTTGTTTATGTGGATTATATCTATCAACGTTTACCGTTTCAGAAATTAAAATATGTTTAAGGCACTTTAAATAAAAGCAGTACATTCATTACATGCTAACACTAAATGTAACTTTTATATTTATGTAAAATAACTGTTTTCCAAGCCAAACATCTTAGTGAAATAAGTGGCATTGTTTTATGCCTTTGCACTCTTTACTCTCTGGCTTAATAGAATGTAACTGTATTCTTGCATCAGCTTCTGCATTCAATTTGTTGTAGTACCAGATAAAATGTAGCCTTTTAAAAAATCAGCTTTATACTCATGGGAGAAAAAGTATGAAAAAGGGAAATAACTTCTGAATATTCTTATAATTTTGACCTTGTAGACCCACTGAAAAGATCTTAGAGATCTCTGAGATTTCAAGACTATACCCTGTGAACCACTGCATCATTCTATATTTTATATATAAAGCATAATACATATAATCACTCATTTTAATATAAATATTTATGCTAAGTGGCATATTTAATGCAAATACGCTGCCATTTAATTCAAATATGCCACATTTAATACAAATAAGCCAACAAATTATCTGTTCACATGAATATGTTTTTAAGTCAACTTGACTGGTGTATATTTATAGATGATTGGATTCTGAATGTAGATTATTAGAACATTCAGTTTGGCTAGCTCCTCTTTTGTAATCGTGGATAACCTTTGCTCATAGGCTATACTAATTAAATTAAATTTATATCAAAGAATACCTTTCTAAATAATCGTCATTCCAGTCCATGACAAATTCAAGCTATTTTGTTGCCAATATATGAAAAGAGTATCACTCTTGGAATTTTTTAACATAAAACATTCTGTAAAATTTCATTGATTCCTATATACACATTAAACAAGCTTAACTGGGCTAGTTCAGAATGACATGGTATAATGTCAAGGAAGGAAAATTATCATTTGCTGGCTTCCAGTGATACTTACAGCCATCCATCAGTTGCTGGATAAAATTACATTATTGATATCCCATGATAGCTTGGTAACTCCATGAAAAGTGTGAAAACTCAGTGAAAAGTAGTTTTATCTACATAGCAAACAGCCAGTCTATTTTTTTTTCTGACTAAAATATAACTACTTCTTACGTGATTAGAACTAATATTTGATCCACTTTAGTAAAAGATACATACACATTCACACACAGTTAATTTTTTGATATACAACCCAAGCATTTGCTTTGAAAAAGGTCACCTGTTTGGGGTTGTGGGTGACGTATTTTTCAAAAACCTTAAGGCATCTTTTACAGTTTCCAGGTTTAGTTTTTTACATTGGTGCATGAATTGAAATGCATTTCGTAAGCAAGTTTAGTAGATATTTCTGGACATTTATTTATATCTTACAGACATATCTCACCCATATCTAATTTGACACGGTTGTGTTAGTGATTTGTCTGTATCAACTTTTTCTGAAACATCCAGCTAATTTTTCATAGAAACAGAGGTTCTTTTTCAGTTATTTTATGCATTTACGTAAAATCTCATTTAACTACATAATTTTGGTAGCTAATGTTAGCATAAACTAGTTTGGGAACAAACTCAGCTAACTTAGTAAGCATAGATCTTAACTGGTGGAAATAGGTATGAAAGAACATGGGAATGTAACCCAATAACCAGAGATGTTCAGCATGTTATTTGCATTAGTCACTGTTTTTTTTTTTTTTTTTTGATTGTTTTTAACTAATTGTTTTAATATGAAAGTTAGGCTTTTGTAGATCAGTCTTAAGAGCTTAAATGATTCCCTCATGCTTTTGACCAGGTAAGGTTCAAAGTAATCCTTTGCTTCTTATCTTACTTTCTAGCACATGATCATAAGAATCAGAAGTTATAGGACAAATGTGTATACTTTGATTATTACTCACAAGAGAGCTTAGAAATGAAGAAAGGAATTGTAATACTTTGAGATTATTAATTGGTATGTTTTTGGGGGAATATTAGCCATGTCTTTGGGGAGCTAAAATTTTTCTCAATAACAAAAATATACTTTACATTATAAAGGCAAAATCCAACATAAATCAAAGTAGGCAAACTCATATGTTTCATAATTTAAATTTTTAAAAATACCACCAAACTGTAATGAATTTGAATTTATTCCACCTGAGGTGTCTTCTTAAAATTTGAAGTCATATTTAAGCATTACATAGTTAGTTTATACACATATATGTGCATATATCCACATGCATTCCTGCAGAGAATTCCAAGCCCAAATTTACTGAGAATACATGCCAGTATTCTGAGAAGTTTTAAACACAATTGAATTTTCCATTCAATTCAGAATGTAATGAGAAGGCAAATTGAAGGCACACACTTCAAAATCAAGATGGATATGTATGGAGATTCAATGAGAATGACCCATTGCGAGGAGCTGGGTAGTTTTATTAGTATTTTTAAAGGCAGCTCTGATTCTATCCACACACAGTTTGTAGGTCCATACCTGCAGGCTGCATTATTGAAAGGTGAAGGAATCATTTCATAAGGAGGACAGTATACCCCTGCTGTGTCTGCCTCTGCCATCGGCAGAATGGTGCTCTGTTGATAATGTGAATCTCATCACCACTTGTGAGTGTGTATTATATGAGTGATATCGCTGGAAATCCAACCATCAGCTCAAGAATTTGTACTCATAAAAATTGATTGAGAGTTAGGTTTGGCCAGCTGCAAAGTCATTGTTCAAAATGAACACTCAAGGAGCCACTGAGGTGAAAAGACTTTTCAAAGACTCTCATGTAAACATTTAAATTGGAGCCAAAAGGTGGGAAAATAAATGATTTGTTAATATTGAGTGTTTACTTGGCTTCTAAGTAAGATCATTTTGGTCTCTTTATATTCTGATGCCAATGTGGTTGTAATAATAAGTAGGTTTTAATGCTTTCCAAGCTGCAATTTTTTAATGAAGGTAAATTTTGGTTCAAGCCAAATTTAAAGAACAGTGATTTTGAAGAATATGCTTGAAATAATACCAGAATGAAACTTGTATATGTTTGTTACTAATTTTTATTGTGCTTGTTTAGTGTTTTAATATTAGATTTGGAGAATATCATTGGTGTAAAATACTTATGATACTTTAATATATTGTAGTTTACTGTAATAAAATAATTTAATACCTTTAAAACTCTGTATTTGAGATTTGAGCAAATAAATTATTACTTCATTCTATATTCTACTAATTTCCATTCAAAAATATATGTCCCAGGTATTGCATATTCTGTAGTAAATAAAAAACTATGAAGCACTTCCCTTTTAATATAATTATAGCTATATTTAATCTAATAATCATTAAGCAATTACTTTATGGCAAGCATTTATGTAAAACATTTTTAATACTTTATCTTATCAGAATAAGCCTACGAGGATAGGTATTATTATTATGCCCATTGTACAGATAAGAAAATAATGCAGGGAGGGGTTATGGGACTTAGTATATTGCAGTTTAGTAAGTGGTAGAGTCAAGCAAATCCAGTTCTGTCAAACTTGTGTTTCCTCTGCCATGCTGCTATGATTACATTGATGCACGTAACTACAGTTGATCTGAAGACAAACAGATATGTGAATAATCATATCTGTTTGGATCATTCATTTCATGAGGTACAAAACAGTGTTACTCTATTAGAAAAATGGCCAGGGAGTGATGGCATAATGAGTCCTGTGCTCATGAGACCACTGACTGTGTGACATCATTGGAAACCAAGTAGATGTCTGTGTTGTTTTGGCCCTGTATCAAAGTGTTCACTGCTTGTTGTTGATGTGTCAGAATCTTGACTTGAAGTTGCTACAAACAACAGCAGGCTATCAAGACATAATGTTAATTACATATCAGCTGAGTTGGCACAGGATGTAAACAGTCAGCCATGCCACAGAGTGATCCATACCTGCTGCAGATGTATGAGAAGCACTCTTGCTAGTGAGATGTCATCAAGATCTGCTTTCAATATAAAGTGGCTGCCCATCCTATTGATTTCTGAAATATTCAGCACACATGGGGACCCACTACAGCAGACTCCTCTCACTTACCTGAGAATGGAACTACTGCCTGAAGAACACAAAGTTCAGTTACATGCTCTAGGTTTAGTCTGGGACTCTAACTAGTGTTTGCTTATGACAGTAAGATAAAGTGAAGTGAACAGACACATTGTTGCCAATTCAAGAATATCATGGCATAAGACTTTATAGCTTTATGCTTTAAGTTGGCTTAAAATTTACAAACCCAGCACATGCTCAGTGTAGGATAAAAATCGAACTATACAATGTTTATGGTAGAAAACGAGAGGCCCCTTCAACATTCCTGCCATGACTACCATGTTATTCTACTATCCTTTGCAAAAGCAGCCAAGTAGCCATTGCTAACTAATAGTGTGGCCTTCCAAATTTGTTTGGAAGGAGTTAGGCAGCTTTAATTTATCATTATGTGAAACACACATCCATTCATTCCTAATGAAATTATTTCATATATTTTTATTTTATGAGTTGCTTTGTTTCTCCTTTAAAAATATATCCATGGGAAGTTACCATATCAAGAATCTACTTTAGGCCAGGTACAGTGGCTCCTACCTGTAATCCCAGCATGTTGGGAGGCTGAAGTAGGAGAATCACTTGAGGCCAGGAGTTCAAGCCTTCAGTAGGCCGTCATTGCACCACTACACTCTAGCCTATGGGGTAACAGAGCAAAACCCCATCTCAAAAAAAAAAGTATTTTAACTGAATAAATAACTGGATTCTATACTGTAAATTTACATAATTTATGTAACAGTCCCCTTATTTAAACATTTAAATTTTGTAACTCAAACAATGCCACTTTGAATGTGGTTTTTGTTGCGGAGGAGAAAAAAACAATGCCACTATCAATGTATGTCCAATTCTTGTATATTAATCTTTGTGTATATGTGGGAATATTCCTATAGAAATGAAATTGCTG